CAAACTCGGTGAAAGGACTGCAAACATTGGCTGTGGTTGATTTAACCCGAACTGAATCACATTCTTTGGGGATAAGTGCACCGACTTTGGCTTGAAATCTCCTGAATAGTTTTCCTGGGCCGTGTAAGAGCGCTGGGTGGGTCTGCTATCCATATCACAAACAGGAGGCTGAGGATGGAGCTGTAGGGCACCAGTTCTGCTTCACTGCCTCTCAATGCTCCATCCACCAACCAGAAGCACTCCCCAACCCCTTTTTTTCTTCGTTTTTTAAGAAAGGGGGGGTAGATTTTGCAAAACTAGGCATCCTAAGTTTTGAAATGCCCTCGCCTGGTCGCGTCTTTTTGCCCCAACCCGCCCCCCGTGAGTTCTTTCTATGTCCAGCTGGCTCCAATACAAAGAACCGCGCTCCCAATGCTCCCAATGATGTGCAAGACCCCCACTGCTTTGTTCGGCTCATTTTCCCACTCCCGAGAGACAAGGTTCAGTAGCAGAGATGAAAATGAGGAAGGAACGGAGGGATGGATGGAGTTTTAAGAAGGTAAAGAGGAAGAGATGGTGAGAAAGCAGTTAGGGAGAGATGTTAGATCTTCTGGACTTGAAGGAAAACCGCTAAAAGTGAAGATTATATGGCAAAGAAGAATAGTTCGGTGACCTTGAAATGTGCAGTTAGAAGCAAGAACATTTTAAGTGTTTTGGAAATGGGAAATTCGCCTGGCAGAAGTTGGACTGACTACAAAGGGAAAAAGTTAGAAGATTTTTACAGTTTAAAATTCTAGTTTGGTTTTTATAAAAGTTAAGAATAGGCAACTGATTATTAAACTCTAAGGGCAAGTTTGGCCAACTTGGATGTGAGTTTGAAAGATATCAGACAAAGACACGGAAATTGTGAAATGTGTAAATAACCATGAGTTTTAATCAGACAAAAGTTATGAATCTTTCTTTTATCAACTGTTAATTGAAGAAAATAAAAAGGTGCACGAAGCTAGAAAGAAGGTTACAGGTTCAACTCCAAGATTGCTCAGGCCTTTCTGTGTGGAGGTTGCATGTTCTCCCTGTGCTTGGGTGGGCTTCCTAGAGACACTCCAGTTTTGTCCATCAACTAGAATCATGCACAAGTAAAATGTTCCAGCTAATGTAATCTAAACCTAACCAAAGACTAGCTCAAGATCTAAAGATGGGTCAAGTCCTGCAGGTGCTGTATTGATTGGTCAAATGCAGAGTGAAAAAAAAATCTTATGGGGACAATAAAGTACCTATAGTATCGTAATAGAACCTTAAAGTAACTACTGCAGTCTGATTCCAACTCCTACTGTTGGTATTTTGCAGTGACATCGCGCTGTGGGTGTTTTTCATGTGTGTTTATAGTGGGTTGATCATCATGGTCATCCTATTCCATCGTGATTCTGTGCAAATGTATTTAAACAACATATTTTTAGGAGTCTGTGGTCAATACGAGCCTTCATGGAGTTTGATTTTCTTTTCTTTTTTTTGTCATTCACTTTTTATTGGGTTTTTATCAGATATAAAAGACATTCATTAACAAAAGTACAACATCCAAACAGTAACAATAAAACAAAACAAAACAGTGGGAATAAGGTATACAGACATAACAAGGTCATACAAAATCAAGTCTTTTTGCTGATACATACTTTAACCATTTTGACTAATAGGTTTCAAATATATCACTTTCTAGCTTCAGCTTAAATGTAATCCTTTCCATTTTAAAAATATTATACAAAATATTATACACCAAATCAATAAATTAAGTTTTTGTAGATGTTTCCTGTCTAAGCCATTTCCAAGTTATTCCTTTTCTTGGCAGCCACCAATAATACTATCATCAAGTATAAGTCTGCTTTTGAGAGGTGCAATAAAACTAAATCGCCAAAAGACATTATATTAAAATTATATTGTATCTCCCTTTTAAAGACCACCTCCACATGGACTCATCTTCAGAATGGAGCCACAGAGGGACAACTCCAAAAAATGTGAAAATGATTAGCTTTAGATGATTGATTTTCAATAAAAAGTGAGAGAGACTAAATGAAACTGTTGGATGACACCAACTTGGTTGTGACTAATGTTATTTGAGATGGACTTGTTTAACAGCATGAAACAGCTCATCTGTTGCATTTCCTAACAAGTCATCTCTTTCTGATCCGATTGTGTTAAAACAAAGCTCAGATTAAAGTCTAACTTGAGTAACAGAGCTTCAGACACAGCAGTGGCTTCAGTGAGCTTCACAGCCCCAGGAAATGTTGATGACATGAGCTGATCAATAGTTGTGTGGTGGAGAGTGATTGGAAGTGGCTGGAGAGGTCATTCATGGCACACAATATGACTATGAGTCTGCCACATTTCTACCACACCGTAAAAGTTTTTGTCAACTCTTAAATACAAAACTACAACAGTACCAAATACTCAGTAGCAAGAGCTTTTAGTAAATTAACACAATGTCCAATTACTGTGGAAACATCAGAGTAGCCACAGCCCCTTTCAGTCCAGAGTCCAATCTCCACCTTCTCTTCAGCTCTTCCAGCCAGGTTCTGATCCTGTTTTGCGGTAATCACGCGGTCAATTACAGCCAACAAGTCCCCGGCGGGTTTTGGGGACTCCCCGGGCACGCCCCCCTCCCCGGACACGCCCCTGCCTCCCCTCCTCCTCCTCCTCTTCGTCTGTCCCAGGCCGGTGTGAAATCATGCATCGGATTGTTGTGACCAAATGGAGACCACGTTATGGAGATGTGGGCCGGAACTAATAGGATTGGTTTTGATTCATTAGATACTCTTTCATCGTCCTGGTTGGAATTCCACTCCATGTCTCCTCGGGCTTCACACTTCCAAAACAGAGGTGGGACGTGAGGGGAGGCGGAGGGAGGGAGAAGGGGGTCGGAGATTATAACTTCATATGGAGTCAACATGGAAGTGCATCGTGGTTAGGGATGTAACAATAACCAAAATATCGTGATATCATTTAATCAAAGTCTCATAATAATATCATGGGCTGTCACAATATATCGAATCACAAGTTCCTTTGCTTAAATGTATGGTTTCATAATAGCAACATCTTATAAACATGGAGAACTACATATCCCATGATTCATTTCGGTGCAGACAACATGAAGAAATATGTTTTTATTTGAATTCTTGGGATTATCATGGAAATAATTCACACCAAAATCTTGTCAATGTATTTTAAAAGCAAAAAAGTGTCCCATCTACGATTATATCAGCCTCTTCAAAATATCACAATAAATATCGTACCGTGAGATGCATATCGTGATAATATCGTACCGAGAGGTTTGGATATCGTTACATCCCTAATCTTGGTTGGTTAAAGGTCGTATATTATGAAAAATTTACTCTGGTGAGATTTATGTCATGTTCAAATGTTGTTACCTTGTTAAAAATATACCTGGAGTTTCTGGTTTCATTCACAAATGCCTGAGTAATCCTTTAATAGTCTGTCTACATCTCCGAAGCTCAAAATTCTCTGTTCAAGAGGTAGTTTGCAAATTAGCAGCTACATTTTAACTTAAATTCAGTAGAGATTGGCACTTCTTGGGCTGAAATTATCCAAAATGATTCTAGTGAAGGTGTATGGAGTTTAAAAACTACTCCAGAGACATGGGTTCTTCTCCTAAACCACTCAAAACTCTTGCTATATGGGTCAGTGACGTGGCTTCTACATTTTCTGTCCAATTGCAATTTCTTCATTTAAAAAGGTTCAAATTCCATAATAATTCACCACATACCTGTAGTACCGCTGACCTCCATGGAATTAAATCTTTTTTTTTTTTTTTCAGAAATCATTAGTCATCATCATATCATCTGTGCACTGTTTCCTTGTCACCTCTTGTATATAACTGTGATATACTGTATTTATATTACGGTATTTGTGGGTTGTTGTTTACTTACTGTACACACATTTATATCTCTTATTGATACCAGTCTTTTCCTATCTTTATATTGCTATTTATTTAAAAGTTGATTATCATTGTTTATATATTTTTACTCTTGTACTCTGTTATTGTAATATACTGTGATGTGTGACTTACTGTGTTCCAGAAATTTCCCTTATGGGTCAGTAAAAGTCTAAATCTAAATCTGGTCTTACTAGGGATGTAACAATAACCAAAATATCGTAATATTGTATCGTCAAAAGTTTCATAATATTATCGTGGGCTGTCACAATATATCGATTTACAAGTTCCTTTGCTTAAATGCATGATTTTATAGGAGCAACAGCTTATAAACATAGGGAACTACATATCCCATGATTCATTTCAGTGCAAACAACATGAAGATATGTGTTTTTTACATGACATCTTGGGATTATGATGGAAATAATTCACACCAAAATCTTGTCAAGGTATTTTAAAACCAAAAATTGTCCCATCTACAACTATATTAGCCTCTTCAAAATATCGCAATAAATTTTGAACTGTAAGATGCATATCGTGATAATATCGTACCGAGAGATCTGGATATCGTTACATCCTTAAGTCTTACTAAAGAAAACAAGTACTAAAACAAATATTCCAGTAAAACCACAATAAGTAGGTCATAACTTCTGTTTCAAAAGTACAAAATGTGATTTCACTTCTTAGTTTTATCGTGGGTGGGGCAGCAGTGGCTCAAGTCCACTATGAATTAGGTGTGTGTAATAAGTGATGGACACATGGTGCAGACTGACAGCCTCAATTTCATCACTCTATCCCAGGGCAACGTTGGCTAAAGCTCGCTACCACTGAGCATGGAATGAATACTGCACTAAATTGCGAATAAGAAAAGTTTAATATAAGACTAATACATTTTATGATTATTATTGCCTATAGTATCATTACTTGAGTACGCAATTTTTGGGACTATAGCTTATAAGACTGCAAGTGTGCAAGTTTTACCCATTTAGGTCATCGCTTTTACTTGAAGTCTGTAGGTTTCTAGTAACTTTGCCATCATATTAAAACAAAATTACAAAAAAAAGACTGAGACAAAATGGTTAGTGGAAAAATACCATGTAATTATTTTTCTATCAATTGCACAAAATATAAAAAAGTGTATATACTGTACAAAATACGATTAATTTACCTAAATAAATACTATAGTGACTACATTGGTTCATACTTTTCAGTCCATTTCCAATTTCTGTCACTACTACCGTGTCCTTGGCTCCCAGGCTTCTCTCTCTAGTGAGTCCTGAGCTCTTTGGCGTAGACAGGTTCCAGGAGGTGAAATGGGACAAGCATGAAGAGGCCGAAAAGAAAGACGGCTCCAGCCACCGCCAACAGCACGTAGCGCCCGATGAACAACGTGTCCACTATCTGCACAAAAAAGAGCGAGAACAGAGGAGAGATAGTGCTTTAGTCTACACGCATATAACTATAAGCATTATACCAGAGCATGGGAAAAGAGGCTTGGTTAGATACACTCATTTGTCTCACTTCTATAGAATCAAATACACCCAAAGATGGGGTAATGAGGTAAAGTTGGGGTGAAACTGAGATATTTGCAAAAAAAATGTTCACAATAATCTTAGTTAAAGGTTTTCTGATCTATTTTATAATGTTGTCCCCTCATCGAAAACACACCTGGAGATTTGTTTGGTTTCATTCACAAAAAATCTGCATATTTAAACTTAGACTGAATGTGTTTCTAAATATGCACATTGAATCATTTGGATGATTTTAGCCCTGGAATTTCCAATCTCTACTTAACAAAAGGTCAAATGTAGCAGTTAACTTGAAAACTACCATTTCATGACATCACAAGGTGGAACACAATGTCAGGTACATTTTTGAGGAGGTAACAACATTCTAACATTGGCTTAAAGCTCATAAAAGTCAATTTTGTGTAATACAGAACCATTAAAGATAAAATTAAGAGTTCAAGGTTTTGATAATTATTCTTGAAAGCAAAATTCAGCTCAAAAGTAAAGTGGCATGGCTGAAAATGTTCAAGAAATGCTGCCAAATTTGTACTTAACTACCTGTCACTAGTTACTTCTGAACACAGTTTTAGTAGCATTTTATTTACCAGTCTTTACAAAACCTGAGTAATTAAAGTAATTTATTAGACTTAAGTTTAATTTGATTTTCTTGGTCATTCCTTTTTCAGTTTTCTTGGCATCAACCACAAGATGGCAGTAGAGAGCTTTCACTAATAGCAGTAGCAAAGATGAGAGCCACAACTGTTCCAGCTCTAAGCTTTCAAAATATACTTGCATCAGTCTTAATCTATTTTATAATGGGCTATGAGTTGATGCTTTAGTGTCTTGCCTCTCCACAGATCTGTCTTGTAACCTGGCCTGATGGTGTTATCTGCTTGTTTAAAGGGCCCATATTACACGATTTTAGATCTACACTATAATGTTTTTTCCTCATCACAAACAGACCTGGAGTTGTGTTTCATTCAGACATGTTTCATACACACCCTGCATATTTAGGCTGAGTCCTTCTCTCAAACTGAAAACACTGTCCACCTGATGAACCCATGTATGTGCTCCACTGTGTTTTTAAACTCTACACACCTTCACTAGAATCATTTCAAGTGATTTCAGCTCTGAAATTGCCAATCTCTACACTAAAGGTAAAAGGAGCTGTTAACTTGAAACCTTCCACTTCATGACATCACAAGGTGGAACAGCATATTGAGCTTTGGAGATGTAGACAGACTAATAATAAAAAATTACTTAAGCATGTACGAATGAAACAAAACATAACTCCAGGTCTGTTTTTGATGAGATAGCAACATTCTAACATGGCTTAAAGCATAATATAGGTCCTTTAATGTAATACTGTGGAATATTATACGCAAAACAGGAATTCCACTACAATATATATGACTTCTCAGCTTATACAACTTATTTTTGACTTTCTAAAAACCCACCATCCTCATTTTGTCCCATACAGTGTGTACAATGATTACGTCTTCACTCTTATCCCGTGCACCAAAGCACTGGTCAACACTACACTCTGTCCAGCCAGGCTTTATTGATTTGAGGACAGGCACCTCATGTTCAGGGAATAAACATGGTGTAACTTAGCCCAAGTTGGAGGAAAAACAAACCAGAACTGCACTGGTGCAGAGAAGAAACCCTGGATTCTGTGGAGCTTGTTATTTTCAGATCCTGCTGTTCTTTAGTTCTTCAGTGGGGACGCCGACCAGTGTCCATGAGCAGATCTGACACAACTACATGGGACTGCACTGGCTACTGATGGTATAGGAAAAGTTGACTATATTTATGTAATCTCAGGCAGTGTTTTTCATAGATTTAGTTAAGACTATAGTGGAACAAATGTATTTTATTAGAATTATTTAATCTCATTCAATTTGGGGGGTATAAATGTCAAATTTTCTTTAAACAGCATATACAATGAGCAACAAAGTCTAATTTTGTTGTCATAGTCCATAAGGATTTTAGTTTCCTGTATTAATGAGAAACACTGTGTAACACTGTGTATTGGCTGTTCAGCTAAAAAAAAAAGGCATGAAAAGAGACATAAAGTAGCACTGTGTAACTTTTCTGCTGGAAGATCTGCCACGCTCTTGTCACCATAGAGATGTTATTGCTCTGGCCAAATGCTCTAGTATGGCATTTATTCCATTTAAGGTGTTTATTGCAAAAAAAAATAAAAAATCTAATCTGACTAGTAACTTGTTTATGTTTATCTACGTGGATATACATTCGATGCCATATTTTGGGACATTTCAGGCAGAGCAAAAACATCTCTATGGAGACAAGCAGGTGACGTACCATCTACCAGAAAAGTTACCTGAAAAAAAAAAAACTGTATTTAGAAAGTCCATCTCAATTTCAGAGTTAAAAACAGCTTTTATATTTGTATTATTTCTTAGGAGAATATTGTTTTAGTCGTACCTGGACTTAAAAATTTACTGACATTCTGTAATCTTTTTAGAATTATTTTTACATTAATTTAACTTAAATGGAAAGTATTTTGGTCACCTTGAATGATGTAACTAAATGTTGATTGTTTCTTTCTTTTTTTTTTTATTTGAGTACAATTTGGCATTGGATGATCAATAAATCTAATGAACTCCTCAAAATAATAATAATATCTGTAATTAAAATGATTTCAGCTTGATATTTTTGCAGTGTGTTTAGTGTTTAGATCAAGAAACAACCAATAATAAGAGAAAACATTTGTAGAAAAGAGCCTTGAGCGATAAAACAGCAGACGGGACCAGTGTGGTCTGAAAGCACCGGCTCTGTCTGTGGAGGAATGTGAACGAGAGAGAGAGGGAGGAAGGAAGACTATGGATAGAGAGAGAGAGAGAGATGGAGAGAGACAGAGGGGGGTAGGAGAGACTGATAGATGGACAGAGAGAGATGCAGAGAGAAACATAGAGAGAGAGAGACAGATAGATGGAAAAAGACAAAGGGGGGTAGGATAGAGAGATTGATAGGTGGAGAGAGAGAGAGAGACAAAATGAGAGATAGAAACAGAGAGACAGAAAGAGAGAGAGACACCAAGAGAGGGGGAGAGAGGGTGTGTATGTGGAAGAGATAGGGATAGATGGAGAGAGAGACAGAGAGATAGTGAGAAATAGGACAGTAGGATAGAGATGAATAGATCGGGAGAGAAAGAGACCGAGAGAGAGAGACAGACATATAAACAGAAAGATGGAGAGAGAGATGGAGTGAGACAGAGAGTGAGGCAGAGAGAGACTAAGAGACAGAGGAAGAGGGGGGTAGGATAGAGAGATTGATACAAGAAGAGAGAGAAAAAGAGAGACAGAAAGAGAGTCAGAGAGACAGGGAGAGAGCGAAAGAAATACAATAGAAAGACTGATAGAAAGAGAGAGAGAGTGAGAGGGAGGAGATAGGATAGTAGGATAGAAGTTAATAGATCGAGAGAGAAAGAGATAGACATATAGATAGAAAGATGAAGAGAGAGATGGAGGGAGATAGAGAAATGCAGAGAGAGAAGAGAGAGAAAGAGGGGGGAATAGGATAGAGAGATTGACAGATGGAGAGAGAGAAAAAGAGAGACAAAGAGAGAGTCAGAGAGACAGGAAGAGAGGGAGAGAGAGAAAGAGAGAGAGACACAGAGAGAGAGGGGGAGAGTGTGCAAAAGAGAAAGATAGATAGATAGATAGACAGATAGAGGGCTGGTGAGAGAGAGAGACCAAAAAAGGAAGGGGGGGAGAGATACAATAGAGACTGATAAATGGAGAGAGAGAGAGCAGAGAGAGAATGGGATAGAGATTGATAAAGAGAGAGAGAAGAAGAGATAGACATATAGATTGATAGACAGACAGATAGATAGATGGAGAGAGACAGAGAGAGGTAGAGAGAGACGAATTAGGATAGAAAGATTGATAGATGGCGAGAGATAAAGTCAGAGAGACAGTGAGAAAGGGAGAGAGAGAGAGACAGAGAGAAAGAGAGAGAGGAGAGTAGGGGGTGGGGCTCCCGTGTGCATGGCATGTCTCTCACCGAAGAATTTAACACATCGCACTTTTTAATTTGCCAATTACACAGCGCGCAGGAAGCCAAAGTGGGCGCTATGTTTTATTAATGTGCCGTGGGTGGTTGTTGAAATCAGGAGGGGCGAGGGGGGGTGGGGTGGTTTGGGGGGGCTGGGGGTAGAGAGCTAGTGCCCCCCTTTCTCCATCCTTCCTCCTCTCCTGCCTCCAGCCTGGGACCTGCTTCATTAGCACTATCATATTTGAGTTTGGTGTAACAGCAAGAGCTTAGACACCGATCAGGCCCAGATAAACGCGTCTAAAGTCTAAATTGAGTCAATACAACTCAATAATATCTCAAAAAATAAGGAAGTATTGTCTAAAGTTAAAGAGCCCATATGACAAAATATCATCCAAATGATTCTAGTGAAGGTGTATGGTAGTGTTGTAGTCAAGACCGCACTAATCGAGACCAAGACCAATCCTAGAGACCACAGGGTCCAGACACCATGATAAGACCAAGATCTTTGTGTGTCAAGACCAAGACAAGACCGAGACTTTTAAAGGCCAAGACGAGACAAGACAGAGACCACGGCTCCTCGAGACCATCTTTGTAATTTTAGACTTCTATTTGCATTTTGCAGTTATTTTGGCGCATATATATAATGTCAATGTTTTTATAAATCTATCTCCATTTTATCACTTGTCAAGTGTCAGACCTCAAGGCTGAGACAAGGCCGAGTCAAAGCACCTTCAAGACCGAGACAAGACCGAGTCCAAACGCCTTCAAGATTGAGACAAGACCGAGTAAAAGAACCTTCAAGACCGAGACAAGACCGAGTCAATGTACCTTCAAGACTGAGATAAGACGGAGTCCAAACGCAGTCTAGACCGAGACAAGACCGAGTCCAAGCGCCTTCAAAACTGAGACAACATCGAGTCCAAACACTGTCGAGTCTGAGACGAGATCAAGACCACAAAGAAACGGTTTCGAGGCCGATCTCGAGTGGAAAAGAGCCTAAATATGCAGAGTTTAAACGTGTGAATGAAACAAAACACAACTCCATGTATGTTTTTGATGAGGAAACAACATTATAACATAGATCAGAAAATAGCGTAATATGGGCCCTTTAAAATAAAAAATAAATCTTAATCATTATATTGCAAACTCCTTAACCATAAGCTCTTTAACCACCAAAACCCACTTCCAAGGCGGGCTTTGCTATATTTTGTCTCGTTCAAGAATCTCAGAAGTCAGATTGGGCTTGTCTGGTGTGGAGTATTGCACAAAGGCTTTCAAATGCATTCTGGCCGGCACGGGTCTGTGTGCACTGCTATTTCTATGGCGTGGCAGCTTGCTTGGCAGATCTGGCTGGCTTATTGGCACGACCCGGAGGCAACATGGGGGAGTGTTTGTTCTGTGTTGCTGTTGGACTCAGATAAAGAAGAACACAAACCCACAGCACCAAACGGCTGCTGTTTACAGACGCGCGCACGGCGGACAGAGGCTCGCGTGGCTCCTAGGGTTATATTTGGAATAGCATTATTTCTATGTGATTACCTACCTGCTGCCATGCTAAATTTAATCTGGATTTATTTACATGGTTACAAAGATGCACTTGTTTTAACCCTCTATGGCCCTTTGAGAAATAATAAGTGTTTAATGTTAATCAGTGTATTACAGAATAGGGCTGGTGGAAATCACAGCATCCTTCACAATACATGGCTCACAATACGATATTAGGAAAATATGGTGATACTTGCAATAATCGATATATTGCACATGATACTGCTGTTTTTTTAGGAGGAATATTTCATTGTTAAACCATTACCAGTGCAAATTTAATATGAAATACATCTATTTGAGTGTATTATTACCATTTATATATTTTTTCTCTTCATTATTACAATATATTGTGATGTGTGAGCTACTGTGTCCAAGTAATTTCCCTTGTGGATCAATAACATCTATCAATCAATATCAGTTCAGCAGCCCACAATATCGATACTGTATCACCAAATTTAGAATCATGATATATTGATATTTAAATATTTTTGCACACCCCTATTCCAGAAGATGCTGTGGGCGCTGCTATTCCTCATTCAAGTTGCATTATTTTGCCTGGGGCTGCTGATCTTAATAAGTTCAATGCACACTTCAAAGCTACAGCTGTTTTAAAGCTTGGTCGTATCCGTGTATTGTTGGCTTTTTGGTGCACATGAACACTGAACATTTTACGTAAATCAACCTACTTTATATCATATTTCATTGGTGAAACTTTTCTCAAATTCTCCACTGAAATGAATGGGATTCCAGCTTAACCAGAAGCGCCACCGCAAAGATCGTGTGGTTTAGTCGCATTTAGAGGCAAAAGTGGGTGGGGCGGAATAAGGTCAATAATTGGGCAAAGCATTGTTCCTTGCCAACTGTATTCACTAATGTATGAAAGTCAAAGGCAGAGTAGTGTTTTGCCAAAGGACATTAACTATAATATGCGTCATGTGATACTCAAACTGCAAACGTTTATGTTTAGTGGGAAAATTTCTCAAATAACAGTTATTGCAGCACAGTTTCAGTAAATTGGATGGAGGAATTACATGTAACTGAGCATCATTCAAATGTATTTCTTCTCATTTATTCAGCTGAAACTATCTATGCACAGCCCTTATGTACCTTACGTTTATGTCAACGATATAGTAACTGTTTTAGTCTAATTTTGAAAACAGTTTCCCGATGTTAAATGTTTAAAGATGCATCATGTATTGAATTATGTAACTGAGCTTTTCAAAACTAGTTTCCTCTCTATATGTGACAATAAAACTATTACTACTTACTCATTTAAAAATATGTGACTCTAAGGCGTTTATTACAGCTTATTCAAGTGTGACATGGCCATCACAGAAAACTTGGCTGTTCTTTTGGGATGTGAATCGTCATTCTCTCTCAGCAGGATTGTACCATAAACATTTGGTGATAATCAAAGCCAAATGGCCTTAACACAGAGCAAGAAACTTCCCAGAACTGTTCTGAAACTATAAATGGGAAAGGCAGGATTCTAAATGTGTTTGCTAGAATAGTAAAAATTACACGCTCACCTCGATCTCTTTGAAAGGAGGAGGGGTCTCTGGACTGCGAGGGAAGAACACCAGCCCCAGGGTGATTATGAGAGCCAGGAGAAATACTGGGATAACTCCCAACCTGGCAACACAAATGTAACGTACAAGGTTACTGTAGTCATCAAAGGCTATTTAAGGTTATTTTAGAGCATTATACCATAGTACTAGGTTACAGTAGCACACATATTGTGAAGCCTGACAATATCAACATTTTAGGTGAAAGCAAGACAAAAAATGTATGAAAGAGGTATGCTGCCACATGTTGAAACTGATCATTTTGTTTGGAACATTGTTGTTACTATTTACCTTGTGGTTGTCAAACACCAACTAAGAGATTTAATAATAAGATTTATCATTTTGAGTTAGTGTGATTGAAAGCACAAAACATTAAATAATGCACAAAATTTGGTATTTTCAAAGGGATGGACACAAAAAGGAGAAAACAAAATCATACCTGAAGCAGTGGTGCAAGAAAAACAAATGTTCAGATAATTTAATAATGTCAACATAAAGTGTGTGTCATTTGTAGACTCAGTGCAAAAAGTAACAAAATCATGTACTCAAGTTAGTACTGTTGTGTCAGTAAAAATACTACTCAAGTAAAAAAAAAAAAGTTACTGAAATAAATATAACTGAGTAAATGTAACTGACTACAACCCACCTCTTGTTAATCTATAAATATAGGGGGACCAGATTTATTTACTTGGGACAGTCCCAGTTTTGAGCCCTGTGTCCCCTGTCCCAGCAGATTTATCCAAAACCATAGATTTGTCGCAGTTTTATACAAGAAATGTCCCTGATGTCTCTATTTTGGACTAATTTGATACCAATCAACAGTAAAGAGTGACATAAATTGTAATTTGTTTTGGCAAAATACAGAAAAGTTGCTTAAAAATGACCAAAACACAAAGAAAATGTGACTCTACTGGCTCACAGTGTGCATAACAATTTTCCTTACGTACTACTTTCACAATTTTATTATCAGTGTTGGGGAGTAACGGATTACATGTACTGGAGTTACGTAATTAGAATACAAATTATGAGTAACTGTATTCAGTTACTGTTACTGTTTCAGTGAGTTGCAATTGGATTACAGTTACTTTGTTGAAATAAATAGATTACACAGAGGTATTTTGCTGTTTTCACATTTTGGGCTATATCCCCAGGTCTAAATTAGATCTAAACCAGGTCTAAACCAGGTCTAAACCAGGACTAAACCAGGTCTAAACCAGGTCTAAACCAGGACTAAAACAAGGTCTATACTAGATCTAAACTAGATCTAAACCAGGTCTAAACCAGAACTAAAACAGGACTAAACCAGGATTTAACAGGACTAAACCACGATTAAAACAGGACCAAAACAGTCTCCTCCTCTTCCAATAATATTTTTAATACAGTTAAGTAAAGTCTGGGCTTTTTATTTTCTTTAAGCAGACAAAACATCTTATGTTACAATATCCTAGTCTTTGCTTCTCTACAGCAAATCAAGTAATCCAAAGTATTCAGATTACGTTACTCACTTTAAGTAATTTAATGGATTACGTTACAAACTACATTTTGGGGTATGTAATCTGTAGGGGAATAGATTTTAAAAGTAACCTTCCCAACACTGTTTATTATTACCAACCACCCAAACCAAGAGTGACCCAGTTTTTGATTTTGAATTCTGGTCACTCTGTACTGTATAAATAGAGGTATTGTGTGCCAATTATACGAGATGAAGCTGTTTGTAGATAACAGTCTACTTACCTGGCAGCCCCCGATGCCCTGAGCAGAATGATCCCTATTATCAGCGCTGCTATCCAGACCACCGCAATGACCACGACCCCTGTCCCCACGGCTAACACAGTCCCTGCCATCCTAACCTCAATGCTACTGCTCAAAATAACAAGTTAAAGAACACTGATCTCTCTATAAAGCGTTTATTTTCTACTATTTTACGCGCCGATGGAGGTGAAGGTTACGACAGAACATTCCGGAAGCACATTATACGGGAATCGCGAATGATAGATTACAGTTTTAATTTATTTCATGAGCTTATCTGGACAAAACGCGGTCATTTGTTGTTGTTTCTTGTAGGAGCTAGTTACGTCTCGTACTTCCTGGTAACAGCAAGAGCAAACACTATTGGTCGGCGCTTCTTTCTATCAACCAATCAGAGCGCGTTCTAGTTAAACACGTACTCCCGCTTGGCTTTTGCGTTTATCTGTCTTCTAAGGTTTGTAATATGCACTTTTTACAAGTTTAATCGCAATTTTGTTCATAGACCTCACAATATCTTAAAATACTACACGTGAAAAACCAAATTTTTCCTAACTTGTTGTATATTTATTTGAGTAACTGCTCAACTGTTTGCCCAGCTTCATTTCATTCAGCCTTAGCCCACGTGTGTTAAACTAGAACAAACATTTTCAGTGTTTTATCTCTTCTCGTAAAACTAAAGCTTTTTATGTGTCTGTTAACCTGCCAAAGTTATAAATTAGCATAAATGTCTGTGTTTTTGCCCATGTAGTTATTAAATTATACCGACAGAGGGCTGGCTATACACAAAAAATGGAAGCATGCGCCTGAGCCAAGTCGATGGCAGATTTTTCCGATTTAATGATAATTTTAATGTACTTTATCGGCCATACTAGGGTCAAATGGGTCTTGCAAGTACCAAAACGAGAACTTTTTAATGTTCTTCCCTTGATTTATATGACTTTTATAGCTTTGTTTAACGCAGACGAGCAGAAACAGCACAATAATTGCAAACTTTAACCTGAACTGACTTTTTTTTTTTTTTTTACGTACTTGTCTGGCTTTTCCGGATTTTTAATGTGATTTGGGAACAACAAAACCATCAGACGTATGCTATCAGTACAAAGGACACATTGACAGAATCATTCAATGCTTTGTCAAATCTTGTTTTTTTTTCTAAGAAATACTCAAAAGAAGTCAAGTGCCCTTATCTTTATTTTTTCCAACTCGGATATAGAATAGGGTGACCAGACGTCCCTATTTACCCGAGACAGTCCCAGTTTTGTGTCCTGTGTCCCTTGTTCCAGACACATTGATAGATTTATCCAAAACCATTGATTTGCCCCAGTTTTATACAAAACATGTCCCTGGTGTCCCTATTTTTGACCAATTTGATCCCTGCCAACAGTAATGAGAGGCATAAATTGACATCTATTTGGGTAAAATAAAGAAAAGCTGCTTAGAAATGACCAAAACACAGAGAAAATGTGACTACACTGATTCACATTAGTGCAGAGTGCAGAAGAATTTTCCTTAATTACGCACTTGTATTTTTCCCAAACAATCCAAATCAAGGATGTCTCAGTTTTTTAGATGTCTGGTCACTCTGTATCAGTACGAAGGACACATTGACAAAATCGTTTCATGCTTTGTCAAATCTTGTCTTTTCTAGGAAACACTCGAAAGAAGTCAAGTGGCCTTATTTTTTTTATTTTTTCCAACTCGGATATATCATCACAGTTATTTCTACTTGGAGGTGGGAGGCAGTACTGTAGCACCAGTGACTAAACCCCGGGCTCCCTTTCCACTGTATGATTTTGTGCACAGCTCCTCACGCGTGATTGTCATATTTCCCACGGACACTGGAAGGCATCAGCAGCCCAGCGTTGGGGAAACGGGGAGCGGAGCTGGAGATGGAGGTGGGAGGGGCCTGTGCCGGCTGACGTCAGCGGCTGTGTGGAGGAGTATAGGCTGTGCTGTCAGCCCAGTGTCAGTCTGATGAAGATTGGCATGCAGGTAAGCTGTCATTCATTTTCAATGTCAGTGCATGGGAACAGGGCTTCACCACTTGAGCGCCTTTTTTCCCCTTTCCCCCCCTTCATTACAAAAGGCAGGACATTATTCATACAGGCAGACAGCCAGCAGCCAGGCCACAGTGAGAGAGAGGGAGAGAGGGAGGGAGAGACGGAGCGAGGGAGGGAGGCAGAGGGAGGGGGGACGGACGCGCATGAGGATGAGGGGGAGAAAAACGAGAGAGGCGAACCAGACGAGATGCATTTTTGTGCGGGACTGACTAGCGGATTTTTTCTGCCTTTTTTGCTTGTTGTGCCGCTTTCGGATTTGTAATAAAATGTGTTTCTGTCGATATTGTAGTGTTTTGCAGACAGCGCTTGTGTATTTGTCAGTGCGTGTTTTGCGTAAATCGGCCTTATTTACTTCATAAAGCAGCAGGAGAGGTAGAGTTAAGGAGAAGAGCGTAGATTGTGTCCTCCGTTTGAGTGTGGTCCGTCCAAATGCGTGGGTGCGTGTACTGATGTTGATGTATATCGGATGTCTGCTCACTTTTTGTCTGTGGTGGAACTTGGGTTGTGCTTTGGAGTAGGCTACGAATGCATTGGCAAAGAGTGTATAAAGATTGCGAAACAGCTTGGCATCGTTTTAAGTGTAAGTTATACGAAATTATGCGTACAAAGTGTCACATAGTTTGTAGTTGCACTCCGTTCCTTTTGGCCGTGGTTGTGCTCCAAAATTCAGAGAAAGTATGTTTTTGAGAAATCTGGATGACTATACTAATGTGTACTAACAATCCGATGAGATAATTCTTTCCTATTGGACTTAAAATATATGCTGTTAAAACATACTTAAAATGTGATTGTTTTTTGGAGTATTTAAGATCTTATTATTTGCTATAAAGGCATCAAAATCAACTCCATTGATTTAGTGTGTTTGTAAAGCGCATAGTTACAATACTAACAAGTGTACTAACAAAAACTATTGACTAACTATTTAACATTTGGACTTAAAATGTATGCTATTAAAAAAGAAACAATTTCAATTATACTTTTTATGCTGTTTTAAGACCATATTATCTCTTAGAAGGCATAAAATTTGACTCCATTGTGACTCGTGTGTTTGTAAAGTATGTAGTGTTTTCTCTGTCATTTGGGGAGGATTGCTCTTTGATTGCATGTTTCCTGTTAAATGTAAAAATGACCGCTGCTTGTGCCAGCTGTAATGTTTACCCGAGCCTCTGCCCCTGCTTCTGCCCCTGCCCAGAAAAACCTCCAGCGCGTCCTCACACTGCTCCTCTTTGTGCACTACTCACCACTCGGGTTTTTAGATGACCAATTTATTCCGAATTGACTCCTTCACTCATGGAGCTGCTTCACTGGCACAAACACGCCTATATGATTCTATGGCAACACCAAAGCTTAGTTTAAATGAGTTTGATTCGTCCTGAAATTATGGCTGCACCGTTTATCGCAATCAGATCAAAATCGCAATTTGAGTTGGGGCAATTATCATATTGTAAAGACTGCAATTATTTAGATATAGCTGAAAAATCTTGTTGTACCTGTAGTTATAATTCTATCAGCATGTTCTGAAACACATGCGATTCTTGTGTTAGTTAATCTGTTTATATTTTAATCTTCCCTCAAAGGTTAATGCTCCTGGAGTTGTTAACAATGTGAACTCTGAACAGAATCCTGCTTGTTACAGATAAATTACGCAGCTGAAATTCTTGTCTGAAAAAATAGCAGTTTTATTTTTTTTCCCCAAAATCATGCCGCTCTTCTTTTTTTTTAGCATATATTTAGCTCTTATGATTTAATACTTTATGCTACACCATATTGAAGCAAGCTCCTAGTTTGTGAATTTTGTTCACTGACAAAGACGATGAAACTTTTCAGACTCTGATGCTGCACTTGGGCATGTATCCTTCCACTTCTTTGTATAATCAGTCTGTGCAAACTTAAAATAAAACATAATAAATGAAAAACACAGCAGATAAGTAAGTAAGTAAGTACATTTTATTTGTATAGTGCTTTTCACAGATAAAAATCACAGTGCTTTACATGAATAATAAGTTGAAAGAAGTAAGTATACCTACAAACATGTCAGAAAGTTTGTGGACAAAATTGTTTTGTTCCTACACTAATGCAGTCCACAAAGTGAGCAAAGCAGACCGTACCTCTCAAAGCTTCGGTAATAGCACCACATTAGCCTAATTAAATATGCCTGAACCATTTGTTTACTAATCATCTGCTTCCCTGAGAAATCACAATGGCTATTTCGCCCACTTTAGCTCTGCCTCTCTCTCCACCACAGACTCTCGGCAGGTGCAGAGTAAGTACTGAGGCTCCAATCCCACACGGAGCTAAAAGTTGCACCCCCTCTGAAACTGAAACGCTTTGAAACGCCATTGCTTCTAAAAGAAAGACTATAAAAGACTGCGGTTACCTTTGACACCATTCACAATCCAAGTGTACTTTTTCTGGACTGTTCACCCGGGAATAAACCAGACATTAAAAAAAAAACACACACACACAGGAGTCAAGACAGGCTTCAGCACCAATCACAGTTTAAAGTGCGTATGACAGGTCTTTATGATTGTCTAATTTTGATTTAATTTGGTGCGGTTATAACTAATGTAAATATAAATAATAGTTTTACTCCAATCAAGAAGAAATTTGCAAAGAAATGTTGAAAAATTTGTTATATAATAATACTAATTACAGAAAGTGGAAAACTCAAACATTGATTTTGATTGATTTCTAAAAGTTCGGCACATTTTACATATAAGAAACAATTTTTATTCTGTTACTTAAAACATGATTTCAACAAAATAAAGGTATTTTCTTATTTGTATTTGCCAGATAATCATTTCTGTGTACATCAGAGGAGTTATGATGTCATGAAGTACATTTTTAATAAAACAAAAAAATGACCAAAGTAGGAAAAGGAGCGTGAACGTTTTTGCAAAAATCTTAAATATAATGAACTTAACTGTCTTCAATTTGTAAAATTAGGAGTCTAACCTGTCAAAGGCCCTTTAAAGCGTCTCCTCTTTGTTTTGCTGCGCCCCATGCGGCTCTATATTGTCAGATAGGGATAATGCTAATTTAGTTTATCCCCTAAATCCTGCTGAGATCTTAATTGATGATTTGTGTCATTGGACATGCAGCCAGGAGGCATGTTTGTGACTGTGAAAATTCTTGAACACTATTTGCATATCGCTATTGCATCTATATGGGTTAAATGACAAGATGAGCTGCGATGCTGTGCGATCCTGCCGCTTTTTGGGAGAAGATAATCACTAATAAAGCCATTCAGTCACTCCAAATGAAGGAAGTAAACAGAGCGCGGAGAGCATATGTTACAAACCAATTGGAGCTTTTGTATTTGGCCATAAAGCAATTGAGGAAATTAAAGCACAAACAAATGTATTGTCATTTCCTGCACAATTCCTTCTAATTCAAACCCTGTGTGACGCCCAAGAAGCCATTATGTCTTCTTAACCAAGTTTAATTCTAAAAAAGAAAAATGGTGTTTGTTTTCGCGCTTCCTCTTCACAGTCACATGGTGCGATCTTTAATTGTGTATGAAAGCGTCACTTTTTTATAAATCAGGTTTGAAAAAAAAGTACCAGATCGTGTAGAATTATTCATGAGGGTTTAGTCTGGCGGGTATCCTCAGCGGAGTGCATCTAGGTCCTGTTCCGGGGCCGTGAGCGTTGTGATGTAGCAGGCTGACGATCTTGTGTTAAATAGTCCCGCGATCCTTAAAGAGCCTATGACAAGTTACAGTACTAATTTCTCTAAAATAGGGTGACCAGCTTTTCAAACATTTTCAAAAAGAGTGTGTAAAATTGTTCATTCTCGACTCACTTGTGAATCAGTAAATAATATGAGGGACTTCTGTTAGTGCTTTTTTGGCCTTATGGTTATTTTCAAGCACGGTTTTATGTATTTTAGCTAAACAAATGACAGTATATTCCCCCCTTTACTGTTATACAAAAATACAAAATAGGCATATACACCAGGACACTTCTTATATAAAACTGAAACAAATTGATAGTTTTGGATAAATCTGCTGGGACAGAGGACACAGGGCTCAAAACTGGGACTGTCCCAAGTAAATAGAGACATCTGGTCACCCCACACTCTTTTTTTCTAGTTTTCTAATTTTAGTGAAGGTTCGTACAGTACTTAGGGGTATTTCCATAACGGTTACTATAGCAACCATAATGTAGAAAGTAAAATATATAGAAAAAAAACACTGAACGAAAGGGTGAGTCCAAACTTTTGATGAGTTTGGACTGTATAATGAACGATAACTCAGTATAACATTCATCGTGACAGGCCTACCTCTTCTCAACCTTTTTTCCACAAACTCACTCAAATGACGTAAATCTATGACACCACAGGTACTTCCCCACCAAACCGAGGAAAATCCTGTCACATGCTATTTAAAGGTGCACTGTGTAACTTTTCTGGTGGAGGATTCGTTAAATGCTTGTCTTCATGGAGATGTTATTGCTTTCTCTGAAATGTTCCATGATATAACTTTAAACATTTCCATCTAGCATTTATTCATTACAGGCGTTTCTGTCGCTCAAAAATACAATAATTCCTTCTGTGAATAGTGGCGACTCTCCACAGATCTGAATTGTAATTTAACGTAGTACTTGGCGATGTAACAATAACCGAAATATCATGATATTGTATCGTTAAAAGTCTCTCAGCAATATTGTGGACCATCACAGTATATCGGATTACAAGTTTAATTGTTATGGTGAAAACTGAGAGAACTACATAGACCATGATGCTTTGCTCTGTGTCAGCGCAAACTACAGAAACTAAAGAACTATGATTAAGCATTTTTGAATCTTAGTTCTTTGGATTATGACTGAACCAAAGTTTTGTCAAGGAATTTTAAAAGGAAGTCGCATATTCAGTTTAATGAAAATATTGTACCGAGAGATTTGGATATCGTTACATCTCTAGTAGTGCTAC